ATTGATCTGCCTAGGTTTTCCATGTACTATGGAAAGCCGAGTATAGTAATCTTTAACAATTATTGTTGAATTGTCTTTTTCTCTCTTCATTTACATCCGTTTTTGCTTCATGCAATTCGGTGCTGTCATTAGGTACAAAATTGTTAGATCTTCAGGATAGACTGACCCTTGTAAGAATATAAAGTGTCACTTTTTAGACAAGGCACTGTGGCTCACGCCTGTAATCCCAGCATTTTGGGAGGCTAAGGTAGAAGGATCACTAGAGCCAGGAGCTCAAGACCTGCCTGGGCAACATAGTGAGACCCTGTCTCTACAAAAACAGAAAGAAAATCAGCCAGGAATGGTGGCAAATGCCTGTAGTCCTAGCTACTTGGGAGGCTAATGCTGGAGGAGCCCTTGAGTCCAGGAATTCAAGGAGGAGTGAGCTATGATCACATCATTGCACTCTAGCCTGGGTGACAGAGCATGACCCTGTGTCTTAAAAACAAATAAGCAAAATGTCCCTTTATGTTTCTAGTAACATTTTTTGTTTTAAAGTTTATTTTGTCTAATATCAAAATAGCCACTCTGGCTTTGTGACTGCTCTTTGCATGGTATGTCTTTTTCTATGCTTTTATTTTAGATCTATTTGTATCTTTAAATCTAAAGTGTCACCCATAGACAGCATATAGTTGGGTGTTTAATTCAGTCTGACAATACCTGCCCTTTTGATTATATTGCTTAACTCATTCACATTTGATGTTATTACTGATATAGTTGGATTTAGGTTTGCCATTTTACTGCTTGTTTCTTATTTCTCATATCTTTTTTGTTCCTCTATTCCTATTATACTGTTTTCTTTTACACTTAGCAAATATTTTCTAATATAGCATTTACATTTCTTCAATGATTTTTTTCCATACATATGTGTTTTTATTTATATCCTTAGTAGTTGCCCTAGGAACTTACACTTCCTCAGGGGGCTCAGACTTACACAATACATCTTAATTTATCAAATCAGCTTCTGATTTATGCTAACTTAATTCCATTGAGATATGGAAAATTATTCATATACAGCTCTATTTCCTTTTCCCCTTTTGTGATAGTTATTCATATTACATCTATAAATGTTGTAAGTTCAATGATACACTGTTACAATTATTGCTTTGTGTAATTTTATAAGCACATTTAAAGAAGTTGAGAAAAGCAAGCAAACATATTTATAGCTTTTGTTATATTAATCTCCTTATTAATTCTGATTCTCTTCATTTGTTCTGTGAATTTGAGTTCGTGTGAACATTGAGTCATTTCCTTAGCCCAAATACATTTCCGTTCCTATCTCCTTTTTCCTGTTATTGGCAAACAAAAATTATTGTTTGGAGTCACTTAGTTTCAGCCTGAAGAACTTCCTTAGTATTAATATTTCATGTAGGGCGGGTCTGCTAGCAACAAATTATCTCAGTTTTTATATATCTCAGAATGTCTTTATTTCACTTTCAGTTTTGGATAGTTTTGCTGAACATAAAATAGCTGGCTAACTGGATTTTTTTTTTTTTAAACACTTTGAACACTCTGAATGTTATCCCACTGGCTTCTTGCCTCCATTGTTTTTGCTGAGAAGTTAGCCATACTCTTACTAGGGTTCGCTTGTAAGTAATGAGTCATTTATCTCTTGCTGCTCTCAAGATTTTTTCCTTGTTTTTGGCTTTCAGTATTTTTTACCAGATATGCTTCGTTGTGGATCTCTCTTCATTTATTCTATTTGGAGTTTGCACTTCCTGGGTATGCTATGTAGATTATTGTTTTTCAATAAATTTGGGATGTTTTCAGTTATTACTTTGAATATTTTTTCTGATCATTTCACTATCTCCTCTCCTTCTGATGCTCATATTATGAGTGTATTTGGTGCACTTAATAGTGATTCATATTTCTCTAAGGCTCTATTTTTTTCCATTCTTTTTTACGTTCTTGGGTAATTTCTACCGATCTATTGTCAAGTTCATTAATTCTTTCTTTGGCCAGCTGAGGTGTACAGTTGTGCCCCTCTAGTGAGTTTTTTAGTTATTGTGCTTTGCAATTCCAGAATTTCCATTTGTTTTTTTTAAAAAATAATTTGTCTCATTATTCACTATTTGATGTGACACTGTCATCATATTTTCCCTTAAGCATGATTTCCTTTAGTTTATTAAACATATTCATAATAGCTACTTTGAAGGCTTTGTATGTTAAATCCAACTGGTCACTCTGAATAGCAGTATCTGTTGCCTGCTTTTTCGGGGGGTGGGGTATATGGGTCATTTTTTGTTTTTTTTTCCCAGCATGTCTCACAATTTTTGGTTAGAAACTAGACATTTTAGAAAAGTTGTACAAACTCTGGGTACTGGTCTCCCCACTTCAAAACTTGTGTTAATGCTTAGCTTGTTTAATGAGTGACTGGCTAGGTTATTTTAGTAAATTCCAGTGGTAAGCCTCTGATGTTGCTCCTCAGGGGGCTCAGACCTGGAATTGCCCACAGTTACCCTGAGATGAGAATGGTTTTGGCAGGGTGCTCTCTGACTCTCTTTTTCTCTGACCTACCCAGCTGTTAAGTGCCACTAATTGTTGGCTGATTGCTCTACTAATTTCAACAATGCACTGGACCATAAACTACTCCAAAGACTAAAGGATTCAAATCTGGGGTTTTCTAAAGGGAAAATTCCAGAGGTCAATGGTTGAGATTTGTTTTGACCCCTGATGGTCTCTTCCCAACTTAAGTCTTTCCAGGGTTTCCACAGGTAAAGTAGGAGGTCTACAGCTAAGGTTAAGTGTCCAATGAATCTACCAATCACCTAATTACCTTTCACTACAACATCCATTGCTTTTGACAGTAATTTTAGGCTTAAACTTCTTTACACTTTCTTGTAAATGAAGTCTATGTCTTTGTGAAGAGATCAGAACTATGTTTTATGGCCAGCTTTTCCCCACAGGCAAAATCTCTGAGCCATGGCTTTGGAACTGGAAGTGGGGACAATGGCACACTTCTCATTGAGTGACACCATAGCTTTAGTTGCTGTGCCCAAAGTTGAGCCTCTGTCCCAAGAGCAGAGGCTGGGCAGAAAAAGGGAAACCCCTACTCTCAGTCACACTTGGTCAGCAACAGGCAGCTAGAGGCAGGATGAGAAATGCTATGTTCTCCTCCTCCCCCAGATGATAGCCCAGACTGTGAGCTTGGGGGGAGGGAGTCTTGTCTTCTTGACTACACCAATCTGGAGTAGACTTACCATCTCACTCAGCTGGGATAGGGGAAGGAAGGAATGGGTCTCAGAACAAATAACAGATTCTTGCTGTTCTTACCAAATTTTAGTAAATTTCCTTGAATAAATGTTTCTTCATTTGGTATATTTCCTTCAGAACACTTCCGGAGACCTTAATGTTTTAATAATTGTCACCAGTTTTGCTTGGGGAGTAGGACATACTCTCGTCCTGGAAGTCCCTCTCAGGCAGTGAGCTCTTAAAAATGTAAATTAGATCATGGTCCCACTCAAACCTCTCCAAAAATTCCTTTCATATTTTTTCTTATAAGGTCCAAGTTTCCTGCTTAGCTCCACAAAGTATAAGATCCACCTCTTGCCCATCACTTGATCCCATCCCTTACCACTTTTCACTTTCTTCACTCTTCTCAAATATCTGCCCTAACAAGGGTTAACCTCCTCAGGCTCTTTGTATTCACAGTTCCCTCCTAAATGCTCTTTCCCCAGATTTCTCCATGGCTTTCTTCCTCATTTCATTTGGCTCTTACCTCAAATGTCATATCAAGACCTTCTCTAAAATAGTACCTGTCATTCACTCTTTATTTACTTTTTTAGTTTTACTGTGTTTTATTCCCCTTGAGACAGTGTCTCACACTGTCACCCAAGCTGGAGTGTGGCAGCATGATCAGAGCTCACTGCAACCTCAAATTCCTGGGATCAAGTGATTCTTCTGCCTCAACCTCCCAAGGAGCTAGGACTACAGATGCCCACCACCATGCCCAGCTATTTTTTAAAAAAATTTGTAGAGATGGGGTCTCACCATGTTGCCCAGGCTAGTCTCAATCTCTTGGCCTTAAGCAATCCTTTTACCTGGGCCTCCGGAAATGCTAGGATTACTGTGATCCACAGTGCCCGGCCAGTTTTAATGTTTTTCATTTATTCCTTTGTACATTTATGAGTGAAAGAGTTTTTAAACTTTTGACAAAATTTTTTAAAGGTCAAAGAACAATCACAATGTGATTCACTATTTATCCATGTGTCCTGCCTTTTCTTCACAGCACCGAAATTTACTTGACACACTTATTTTCTTATTTGCTTAGAGTCTGTTTCCCCGGTAGAATTAAAACTAAGAGGGCAAGGGCTTTGCCATGTGCTGCTCTCCACTGTACCCCAGTATCTAAAACAGTATTTGGCACATAGTCATTTCTTAATAAATATCTGTTGAATGAACAGATGGAAAATAGGAATTGAAATATTTTTAAAATTACTATTTTAAATGACAACTTTGATAATCTGTTTTTATTTGTATCCATAAAGAGCAGAGTAACAGAATATGGAAAAAGTAGTAATAGTTGTTTATCTGGCTGAGAGAAGATAAAAAGAAGTGGTCAATGGCCAGGTATTCAAAGTTCTGTTTCAATAATCCTAACTTATGTTTATAAATAGCATTGCTGACCTGCCAGTGCCCTATATGTTACATATACCAGGACCAAAAGATATAAGCATCTCTAATTCAGTGGAAAAGTGAAAAAAAAAAATACTAAAATGACAAACGTTTATACTATAACCAAAAGTTTTGACACTTAAGGGTACTGGAAGATTTAGGAAAAGTGAATCGAAGATCAAATACAAATTTCTCAATAACTATAAATAAAACTCTTTGACATTATAGAAAACAGTATATCATATCCATGTTTTCACTTTCCCTGCATATCCCTTTCCTTTTAAGGCCAAGTTTTGCAATGGGCTTAGCAAAACTACGCAAAACAAACTTAGGTTAGGGAATTTTACCTTGAGTCCTGTTTTCTCGTCATCACTTCCATTATTTGTAGATGGTGTCTCATCTCCTTGCCTGGAAACCAAGACAAAATCTTCACTATTAAGAGTAGATACTGAGTCTGAGGAGACACTGATTTTTCCAACAGAGGCTTTGTCATCCATAACTCAAGAATGAGGCTCAACTCATGAATGATTAAATATTTTTAAAATGCCTGAAAAACAAAAACCATAAAGATACTCATATAGAATTCTAGATATTCAATTATGCTCTAATTCTCACAAAACAGATATGGAAAAACTGAAAAAAAATACTTCCAAAAAATTTTCCTAAGACTGTCACTACTTTCAGTTTAGGCTTTTTATTCCAGATAATGAGGGAATTTTATGCTATTCAGTACCAAGACATTTCAGACGTCAAAAAAATAAATAAAACATATCCCCTTCAGAATAATACTACCTATCCATAGTGATTTCTTTAGCATATGTTGCCAACTCCAGTCTTAGCCTCCGAAAATAAATGAAGTACTAAACTTTTGTTTTCTACCCTTTAATTTTTAAAGCTGTACACATAAATGAAATTGAGCACACTTAGTTATTATGAAAAGCACAATAACTAAGGTTTTCCTAGCATTATTGGTTAGTATTTAAAATACTAACATAGTTTTTTTTTTTTGAGACAGAGTCTCACTTTGTTGCCCAGGCTAGAGTGAGTATTGTGGCGTCAGTCTAGCATATACTGGACATATACCAGTACTGGACATATACCATGTGTCAAGCAGTATCTTCCACTCAAAGGCCAATATATATATCAGCTGGCAGCAGGAATTACATAATTTCTGAGTAGTATAGTTGGAAAAAAAACTTAGAAATCATCAACACTGTTAAACAATAAAATAGCAATCTCAAGAGAAGTATGGTCATTTAGTCAATGGCACAGCTGAGGCTACAACCCTGGACTCTCTGCTTTTTTTTTGAGACAGAGTCTCGCTTTGTTGCCTAGGCTAGAATGAGTGCCATGGCATCAGCCTAGCTCACAGCAACCTCAAACTCCTGGGCTCAAGCGATCCTTCTGCCTCAGCCTCCCAAGTGGCTGGGACTACAGGCATGCGCCACCATGCCCGGCTAATTTTTTCTATATATATTAGTTGGCCAATTAATTTTTTTCTATTTATAGTAGAGACGGGGTCTTGCTCTTGCTCAGGCTGGTTTTGAACTCCTGAACTCGAGCAATCCGCCCGCCTCGGCCTCCCAGAGAGCTAGGATTACAGGCATGAGCCACCGCGCCCGGCTCTCTGCTTTTTATTTAAACTAATTTCTCTGTTTAGAGGCTATTACAGGTTTACATTTAATAGGACCAAATCTAAATACATAATGTGGCATTCAAAAACACTTCAAAATGTACTTTTGAAAAATTAAAAGAAACATGTTTAAATTAATGCCATTCAATGAATACTTATATTGAGTGCCTAGTGTATAAAGTGCAAGCTATGATAAACAAATTAGATCCTTGCCCAAAAAGAGTTTATGGCTTAGTAGAGAATAAAGGCAAATTGTATAGGCTATTAAGTACAGACTCAGGGTAAAGAAAACTATGGGAACACATTGGAAGAGGGGCTAAGACTTCTGCAAAGGATATATACTATAATACCTCCAAGTATTTGCCTTCATAGGATCCTCATTCTGGTGTGGTTTCCTTGCTTCTGTACTCGATCAACCTCAACTCATTAATAATCTACATCTCTTTCTCTTAGTAGTCTTCTCAGTCCACTTGCCCAATCTTACCTCACAAATGAACTGCTTCCCTTCAGTCTGTTCCCATAGTATTTACATTTGACTTTTTTATAGTATCTATGTTGTTTTAATAATTTGATGGTAAGTGCCTCCTTAATTTAATCATCACATCTATATTTCACAGATGAGGAAATAAAGGCTTAGACAGATGGTATAACTTGAACATAATCTGGTTAGAGGCAAAGTCAAAAATTAAACCCAGTTATTTATGACTTCCCTTTAGATTATGATGGCTTTCTAATGCCACAACTTTGTGCCCTGTCCCAAAACATTCAGCATTGGGTGAGGAAGTCTTTTTTTTTTTTTTTAAACTTTTTTAAGGATTAAATTTGTAAAAAAAAAAAATTATTTTTTCTCTTTTACTTAAGTGGGAACTAAGGTGATGGCGAAGAAGTCTTTATTTTAGAACTTGTACTTTACGAGGGGTTTTCATGCTTAATTAAATCTTTTGTCCATCTTTTAAAATGTGATTAACAGTAGGACAGCAAAGGACTTGGGAAAATGTTCTAAAGCTATGATCTCAGAGACACTAACAACTTTTTATAATACTCTATAGTATTCGGTATTTACAAAACTACTTCGGTATTTACACTATGGAATTGAGAAGATTTGGCAGGCTCAAAGTTCCACCTATTTTCTTTGAGAAGGTGATAGGAAAATACACTTTATAACATACTTTATTGTTTGTTTTGGCAACTGCAAGTAACTGAATCACTCAGCAAGAATGAAGTTTATCAGAACACTAAGTAATACAGGAAAAATCACACAAGACTTGTTTTCTCTGGCCTCTGCGGACAGAAGTGAAGAGGGAGCCCAAGGCTCCACAAGCTCTGGGTAAGACAACCCCTTCCCTTGCCTCCACAATGAAGAGATACCTCAGAACCTGGTGTACTTTTGGCAATATTCTTGAGATTCACAACCTCTGTCTCAAGACTACAAGGACTAATTTTGGTTTTAATCCCTACTTATGTCAGTTACCACAAAAAGTCCCCTACTCTAATTCTTCATCCTTCACACTGTAATTCTAATACCCATGGACAATAAAGTACAAAATTCCACCCCTACTGCCATCTTCCTTCCTATCTTTCTCCATAGCACCCATAACCACTTGACACACTTTCACATTTTAGTAATTTGTTTTTAAGTGTCATGTAATAGAACCTAAGCTTCATGAGGGCAGGGATTTTTGTGTTTGATTAACTGCTACACCCCTAGCACCTAGAACAATGCCTGGCACACAATAGGTGCTCAACTATTTATTAAAGTAGGGTAAATGGCAAATAAAGATGGAAAAGAGCAAGAGCCACTCAATGAAAAGGTAAGACCATCTTTTATAAATTGACAATAAGAAGAGTAGTCATATTTGTGATGGTGAAGCACACAATTAGGAGTTAAGAAAAACCCAAAACAGTAGAACCAGTAGGACACTGTTTCTACTACTTACTAATAGAATGAGTTTGTCACACTGACCCTCAAATTCCATAACAGAAAATGTTACACTATCTAATAGAGCAATTGCAAAAATTACCAAAGACTATATCTATAAAGCATTTAATACATATAGAAAATTATAGGCACCCAATAATTATAGCTTTTCAAAAACTAACTTCCAATTTGAATTAACAGATATTAACTGATTTAAGTAATCCAAGTTAGGAAATACTGAGGTAAATAGATAATAGATTTTCTAATTTCACACTGCAATTTGTTTATATCTAAACAAATGCAAAGGAATACTTCCAATACAATTGCCTTGTCTACGTATAATACAAAGGAATAAAATGCATACATTCTTTATTTCATTTTATTATCCTAGTAATTCTATAAGATAGAATAAGGACCATTATCCCATTTTAAATAAGATAATGTACATATGAACACTCCAGTATTTAGCAGGCACTCACAGCTTGTCTCTTTCTTTCACAGAAGTGATGAGCCTAGATCCTTGTTACATCTAATTACCAACAGGGCCAGGTTGATGAGTGCACATTCAGGGATGTTTCCTTCTCTACATCTCTTTTAATAAAGTCAAGCCACTTGACAGAATAGATAATTTTGTTTATTTATGCAGCCTCCTGCATCACATCCAAAAGTTCAATTATGCTTTGTTTTCAATCATCTACCCTTTCAATGCTTTTATTAATATTCTTATAGACATATACAAGTTCAGCAGATTTTTATTAAAAATTAGTCTCATGACACCAAAACTCTTTATCAACTTTTTGCCCAAATTGATCACTCTGTGCCCTAAGTGATAATTTTATACTGCAAAGAATATAACATAATATGCATCTCAATATGTTGACTGGAGTCACATTCATTCTCCTTTTCCTCTTCAACACTCTACATCCAGCTACTGGAGTGAAATGGAATGAACTGGTTAAGACAAGACTCTTTTGACAGTCCTTCAATAGCAGTGGGCTCATGGATAATCAATGTTTACCTTTTAAAAGCTTGAACTTTTTTTTTTTTTTTGGACAGAGTTCCATCAGATATTTGTATTGTTTCTAGCTACTAACATCATTTTGAACAGTAACATAAACAGGGACCTTCCAGTGGCATGGATTTGCTAATGTGCAATTAGTGGAGGAAAAAACCACCTCCTGGTAAGTGACCCACTTAGCTTAATAAAAGAAGCATGGGTGATATTCTTAATTGAACTTGACATGCTAGAGGCAAAATGTGCTAATGCCCAGACACCAGTCCGGTCCTTGGTTCGCCTTTATTTCCTTGGTTTTCCTGAGACATTCTTTTTAAAGGAGTATTAACTGCCTCCACCACTACTACCACTTCAATGGGACTCCCTATTCTCACTGAACAGTCCCTTCCAAAAATCAGACCCTTTCTTCTCACCAATCTTCACTGAATCTCTTCTTTTAAAAACCAACAATAACACAATTTGCAAAACTCAACGAATTCTTTCAGTCCTCATCTTACTCCTACCAGCTGAAGTAAATGAAAATGCCATTCATTTCCTTATTCTGAAACTTATCTTTTTGCTTCCATTTTCTACCTCTATCTTTTTCTAGTCCTCATTTAGGTTCCTTTTCTTCTACTTAAAAAAGTTCATTCTTGTCCCTCTTTTCCCTGGCTATCTCATTAGCTAATATAGTTACAACTTTCTATTGGATGCTAATAGATAGATTGGATGCTCTAGCCCTATCTTTTCTCTTGAATTCTATGTGGGTATTAGTGTTATGTTTTCCTTTTTTCCAATTCAGTATCCAGTATCTGATATGTGCCAGGCACTGTGTATATTGTTATGGCGAGGAATAAAAGTTACTCCTGGCCGGGTGTGGTGGCTCACACCTGTAATCCTAGAGCTCTGGGAGGCCAAGGCGGGTGGATTGCTTGAGGTCAGGAGTTCGAAACCAACCTGAGCGAGACCCCATCTCTACTAAAAAAAAAAAAAAATCACAAGAAACTAATTGACCAACTAAAAATATATATACAAAAAAATCAGCCGGGCATGGTGGCACATGCCTGTGGTCCCAGCTACTCGGGAGGCTGAGGCAGGATTGCTTGAGCCTAGGAGATTGAGGTTGCTGTGAGCTGGGCTGATGCCATAGCACTCACCCTAGCCTGGGCAACAAAGTGAGACTCTGTCTCAAAAAAAAAAAAAAAAAGACTCCTTATTTTTGACAGTCTTACAGTAGAAAAAAGAGACTAGTAAACAAGTAATTATAGTAAAGTATAGTGGTTGTTACAATAGAGGTATGCAAAGGGTATTATGGGTATATACTTCAGGGCTCTACAACATGTGCCCCATGGTCATCTCAAAACCAATTCCATGTGTTCAAAACCAAACTATGTAACCCCCTCATGTCAGCATATTCTTCCTAGGTTCTCTACACTATTAACCACCACAGATCCATGATAGACAGACAGATACATAAATAAATAAATCCTTGACTCCTTTTCTTATTCTCCCTTGAAACTCTAACGGATTATAGTTCCAAAATATACTTCAAATCTATTCCTTCTTCACCAACACTCATGTTACAAACTTGTATTTTATTCTCTTCCAACTTGGCTACAACAGAAGTCTTCCTTTCTAGACCTACTAAGGTCACTGATTATCTAGTCCCTATAGTTAATTTCTAAAACTTAAATTTAATCATATATTCCACCAACCATCTTCTTCAAAACCACTAATTGCTTCTGACTAAAAACGGAATAAAATCCAAACTCCTTATATCACTTAGTTCTACAAAATCTGGAGCTAATCTATCATTCTAGTCTTAGCTCCTTCTAACAAACTATACAACACATCAAATGTTACATATTTTTATTTTCAAGTCTTTTCACATACTGCTTGCTAAACTGAGAATGTGTCTTTGTTTCCTAATTAGCCTTTCTCTCCCAACAGCAATCTAGTAATACAATCAAGTATTCAACTTCCCCCTTTTCCCTTTCTGCAATGTTCATTTTATTCTAGCATGCCTAAGAGTTTTGATTTTTAGTTCTATCACAGGTTTATAGCATGCATCACACAGTAAAATATTAACACTTCTATTCTACTCTACCATATTGATTGATCCATTCACTCCAGAAACAATTACTAAGTATAAACCACCATGTCAAATGCTGGGAACACAATGAGTACAACATAGTTCCCAGAATTAGTTTGGACAGGGATTTTATGTTTTATTCATGTTAATTTCACATTCTTGCTTAGTGGTAGTGTTTAATAAATGTGGTTGGTTGAATATACTTCAGTATTTAACTAGTAGGGTCTAAGTAATGTGAGGAGGACAAATGACAAATATGCTACGTTACATGCATGTATTGAGGATGTGGCTACAGATGATGACTAGAATATTGAATAGACTCAAAAAGAACTACCATTGAGAGTGTCCAACCCTTCAAGTCCCCAACTGTCACAACCAAAAACAAGTTAAAGAACACTGAGTCATAAAACACACTTTGAACCCTCTGGACCAAACACTCTCATCACTTCCCTTCCAATCCAGTGAGCAAATGAGAACAGCTTTAGGGAATCTTAAGAGGGATGCTTAAATCATCTTGCTAAATCTGAAGAGAAAGTAACACTTATTAGTTCTTGAGTGCCAATTATAAGCCCAACACGGTACTAAAAAGTTTTACATGCATCATTATTAATCTTCGCACTAACCTTGCCAGATGAGTATTAACTTCATATGACAGACAAACTGAGGCTTAGGCAGGTTGATAACTTGCTTAAGTTCACAGAGAAAATTGTGGAACTTGTTCCAAACCCAGGTATCTAGGTGTCTCTGTCCTTTTCTGGATTGCATGTCTCTCCTTCTTGATGACCCTATCTCCATTCTCTCCCCATTCCAATCCATCCTCTATGCTGCTCCCAGTTGTATCCTTCTAAAACACAGATCTGGCAAGATTACTCTCTGTTCAGAGAAAGAATAAGACAGGAAGTAGCAAAAGAATCAAGTCTGAAAGATGTTGTAGCAGGCCAATTCCTGTGGGTTTGTAACTCTTTAAAATTAAACAAGCAGAGTACAAATAAGTTATATATATAAATCACACTATATTAGTCTCAACTTTTTTCTTTTTTCCCTGGCTCTGAACTTTGTTTTCCTGCACTGGTTTTCACATGACTTTCTCACAGCCTATCCCTGGAAAGGGTGGGACAAATCTAACAAAACTCAATGGAATACCATCCCTTCTTTATAAAAATAAATTCCTTTCCACCATTACTAAATGCTAAACAATAAAGGTCTTTGTTTTAAGTCTAACTCTCAATTTGGTGGCTGTTTCTTTGAATTATTTTAGTTAGCTAAGAAAACCATAATAATTTAAACTTTCTGATTAATTTCAGCTTAGCTTAAAAAACCAAAACCAAAAGAAAACAAACTTAACCATCTTGGGCCTACTTGCACCTAAAGGCAAGAAAAACCAGCTTATCTAAAACTCACTGTTAGGCAAACTTTAACCTAATTTATTTCTTCAAACTATTAAGTGATTTTTAGTTCAATTGTGGGTCAATTAAAAAAAGAAATGAATTAAAGGAATATAGGAATTTGAAAGACAAAGTTAAAAAAATTTTCTTACAAGTTGTAAGCTCTTTGCATTGTGGTTAAAGATACATAAATGTTACCATTTTAGCTATTTTTAAGTATACAGGTCTGTGTCATTAAGTACATTCACACTGTTGTGCAACCATCACCATCAGCCATCTCTGGAACTTCTTTTTACCCCAACTGACACTCTGTGCCCATTAATGCTAACTCTTCATTCTCTCCTACCCCTAAACTTTGGCAACTACTATTCTACTTTCTGTCTCTCTGAATTTGACTACTCTAGGTACTTCATATAAACAATGGAATCATGCAATATTTGACCTTTTGTAACTGGCTTATTTCATTTAGTAGGTCTTCAAGGTTTATTCATGTTGTCAGAATTTCCTTCCTTGTTAAGGCTGAATAATATTTCACTGTATGCGTAATATATTTTGTTTATCCATTCATCCTTTGGTAAGTTTTTAAAGCCTGATTGTAACTTTATAGGATCTTTGGATAAATTCACAAAATCAATATAGCAAATGTTCTAAAAAGGCAATGTTTTCAGAATTATTTCTCCCTTTCTAATGAGTAATCAACCCCCCCTTTTTCTAGATAGGGTCTTGATCTGTTGACTGGGCTAGAATGCAGTGGCATCATGTCATCACAGCTCAAAATCCTGGGTTCCAATAATCCTTCTGCCTCCACCTCCCAAGTAGCTGGGACTACAGGCACATGCCACCATACGTGCCTAATTTTTCTCATTTTTATAGAGATGGGGTATTGCTATGTTTCACAAGCCAGTCTGGAGCTCCTAGGTCAAGTGATTCTCCTACCTAAGCCTCCCAAAGTGCTAGGATTATCGGTGTGAGCCACTGCACCCAGTCAGTAATCAAGCTTTGTCAGTTGTTTTTTTTTTTTAAATTTAACAATCTAGTATTATTAATACTTTAACAAAAAAGAAAAAAAGATTGGGAATTGAATTCCTGGGTCCTTTTTTTTTTTTTGTCTTTTTGAGACAGAGTCTCGCTTTGTTGCCCAGGCTACAGTGAGTGCCATGGCGTCAGCTTAGCTCACAGCAACCTCAAACTCCTGGGCTCAAGCAATCCTCCTGCCTCAGCCTCCTAAGTAGCTGGGACTACAGGCATGTGCCACCATGCCGGGCTAATTTTTTTCTATATATATCTTAGTTGGCCAATTAATTTCTTTCTGTTTATAGTAGAGATGGGGTCTCACTCTTGCTCATGCTGGTTTCTAACTCCTGACCTCGAGCAATCCGCCTGCCTTGGCCTCCCAGAGTGCTAGGCACCATGCTGGCTCTAGGTCCTTTTTTGATTTGACTTGGACAATGCTGTAGCTTAAGTTATGTAAAATGAGGGGACTGAACCCTTTCTTCCTGTGTTGAATATCCAGGAAAGGGGAAAAAAACATCAGGTGCTTTCTAGTTCAATTTCATGAAGTAGGCACAAGTAGCTCAATTTCTACAAATGAATAAACTAGGACTCAGAGTGATTAAGTAGCTTACCTTCCATCATATAATAAGTGCAAGACTTGGGATATCAATGTCTTTCTGATCCTAAAATTCATATCTCCCCTATACCTTGATATGTCTAATGAAAGGTACAAGAGGTAAGAATAGGGATAAAATGCACATAAAACAACTCATTTAACTCTGCGTTGATTATTTGAATGCAATAATATTAACACCTGAAAAAGTAAAACCTTATAAATGTTTTTTTCATGTTTCTGTAGATAATTCAGGAAAACAGCACTTTAATTTTTTCCAGAATTCTAGGTATTCTGGCTTTATGCCACCTCAACAAGGTACCTCTGAAACTATCTGAATTGCTATTTGGATGCCATTTCCACAAAAGAAATTACCCCTGGGAACACAGGGAAAGTTAGCTTAATGTCAATGTACTACTCATTCACAGGTCAGATTTGATTACATATCTGACTTTGCTATTATAGATAAAAAACAAAACAAAAACAAAAAACTTTGTCTTTACTTTTTCTGAACAGATTTCTAAAGTATAATTAATTAGCATTTTATAAATATAAACATGAGCATACTTTTAAGCAATGAAGAGTTGTTCAAAGATCTTTCCATCTTTTAGGATATTAGTTAATATAGTTCCTTCTCACTCATAATTAGAAAATGAATCTATTTCATTTAGAATATCCACTTGTCTACACTTAGATCAGAAATGTTTGCATTATTCACTTCTTCTTAATCTATGTGAATTTAATGCCAAGCAAGCAAATCATTCAATGACCAAAGCCCTTATAAAGTAAACGCAGTAAACACAATTTCTTTTTTCTATAACCTGTTTGATTTTCAAGGGAATGAGCAGAGAAACCACGAATGTTTGGTGGAAGACACAGGTGTTTTTTGCACCTTCTTATGAGAAGGCCCTGGTCCATAGTTATATAGGGATGAAAAGACATTTGACAAGTGTGTCCAATAAGGGATGAGCAGTCAACAAGGATTTACTAAGCACTTCATTCACACCACTGTAATAGGTACTATGTAAAAAGATATAAAATTTACAAATATTTAAATAAGTTCCACAAATATTTTTAAACCAATCTGAAAAGATCTTTTCTTATAACCAAGACATCAAACTAAAAAACAACAACAAAAAAACCTTTTTGCTAGAGGATAATTTTTAATATATGCTTTTAAGGTTAGACAGAAATCAGATTTTTTTCTGAATTCACAGGGAATTCAATAGGTAGCTATAATAAGGATATAACCATTTCTCTTCTGCAGATATAGAGGTCTAGTCATAGAAAATCATGTGTTAGCATGAGATTTATGAGACAAAACAGATTTGTGAGACATAGTCCTACTCTCAGTTTATCAGCATACATTCAAGGAAGGGCACAAGAGAGTTTATTACCTCAATGGTAAAAATATTACAATCATTAACAATAGCACTTTTCATTAGTATTATGCAAATGCCCAATTTGGCCTTGAACACTCTTATCATCTTTGACGATATTTAATGTATGATCCCAAGGAAAGATTCTGTGTATCAATTCTTTTAACTGATACAAAGGTCAGCCTCAGAAAAGGGAAAATAAAATTATAACCATTTGCTGTTGGTTATAATTGCCAAAATGTATAAGGAAAAATGGGAAAGAAAGTCTTAAAACAGTCAAATTATTAAGCTTTGAGTTAATATTATGCTAACCTTACCATAGAAATTCATTTGTTAATGCACCTTAAGAAATGTCAGAATTTAATATGGAGAAAAGTGTATTGCCACAAATATTTACAGATCCCAAAGAGTAGTGGTTTATAACACAAATGCTGCTGTAACTTTGGCTAGAAATACATAACTATGCATGACCTCTCCGAGAGATGCAACCCCCCATATGGCAGCAGAGCTATACAATTAAGAAGATATATTTCTCATGTTTTACAGCCAAGATGATTTACTATTTAATGTCCAGTATAAACTTTAAAAAAAGTTTTAGGGCTTTATTTTACTCTTCAGTGGTCAGAAAAATTTGGGGGGGGAAAAGTTAGGTCTTACAGAGCTCTACCCTACTAGAAGGAATAATTTTCAACAAATTCTCACTGATGACTAGCTCAGAATATTATAGTGGACTCGGAAAGAGAAAGGAAATTTCCAGTCCAAATTCTATAAACTAACATGTTCATGACTTGCACACTTCCATATTTGGTCAGTCTTTGCACATGAAGAGAAACAGGCTATTAGGGTCGACATGAGTCTTTATAATGTCAAATTTAAATGTCTATTCAATACTGTTTTTGACTTACAAGTTTTCTGAAGAATAATGATCTCAGGATCAACACAAAACTGAAAGGGGTGGGGATCGTGGGGATGACTAGGTAGTCAGTTTATGCTAAAACAAAGCGGCAGCTGATACAGTGGTTTTGTTTTGTTTTTGAGGTCTATACATAGGCATCAAGTCCTTAACCTTGGATTTTCTTTCCTCAGGATCTAACTATAAACAACAAGGCAATTACATACACAGTATCAAAATGTCAGAAACCCTGCTTTACATACATTAACACTTTAAAAATATTTCAGTTCTACCTCCAAAAGATTAAGATTAATCTATAAGAAAATATATAAGAAAATAAAGATTATTTAACTAGCTATAGAAATAATCCCTGAAAGTATAGTATTGTCAAGAAAGATCATTTAAGAATGTTGTATTCATTTATTCCGCATGCTTGAGAAATCTAATGATATCTGATTATACTGAAAATTACAAAGATAACATTATGGACAGCCTATGTCAGAAACATAGCACACCAGTGTTTTTATAAAGATACTCCACAGTGGCACCGATTTAAACTAATTATTTTTTGAAGCTTGTATTCAAAGATTACTTGTTAAAACAATTACTGGGAAATGATGAGACCTTCAAAGGTTTTTCTTTAACTGGAAGCACACTGAATAAAAGACAATGATTTCTTTAAAAGAAACTAGGCTGTAAAGTTGTTATGCTGTGTGGAAAATCAGTCCCCTCATGTTGATAACTTAGATATAATGTGAATATACTTCTCTCAACATGCAGCAAATATAGGAAACAGGTGTCTTCACTTTTTACACATGTAAACTGCTAACAAAATACTATGCAAAAAATGCCAAAATACATATAGCTGATGGGCTAACTTTCCAGACAAATGTATGTCGTATTAATGCCAATGAGTTAACTGTAAACTGAATTACAAAACTGAATGAAAAGGAAGTGTACCACAACATAGCAATAATTCAACTTTGAGTTTGAGTTAATACTTTGTATTACAGTGACATGTAAATTTTACATGTTACCAATACATACAAATCAATCATGGGTACATACCTTATTAATACAAACTAAAGTCTACAAAGGAAGCTTATAAAGATCTCTCTCCCTTATTCATTCTCAGTTTTCATAAATAAGCTCTACTTTAAAATTTTCAATGTTTATTAAACAGCAAGCACCCTATACAGACTGTAATTAAGGCAACAGGTCCTTGTTAAAAAAAAAAAAAAAAGTTGGATGTGTACTTCCTTGGTACCTAAGCATTTTTTCCCCAAAAAACTTTTCAAACATCAGTTTAATGTAACAAATATAGTTCCATTCACCCTCCATTGTTGTTTTCTTCCTAAATAAAGTAGCTGGAAACACACACACTCACTAGTTATTACTAGTATGTGAATACAAAGAGTTGAGTTGAATGAAAATATTAAATTGTGAAACCTTGTCCATGACATTTTTTCCCCATTGTTTAAAAAAAAGACACGTCCAAAGATCTCAAATGCAAGTTGAATCATGATTTTAAACTAACGGAGCACTGGTAGCGGGAACACTAGT